TATGTACAAGTGATCACTGACAGTTATATGTCCAAGTCATCACTGTCAGTTAAATGTCCAAGTGATCACTGTCAGTTAAATGTCCAAGTCATATCTGTTAGTTATATGTCCAAGTCATCACTGTCAGTTATATGTCCAAGTGATCACTGTCAGTTATATGTCCAAGTCATCACCGTCAGTTAAATGTCCAAGTCACTCTGTCAGTTATATGTCCAGGTCATCACGGTCAATTATATGTCCAAGTCATCTCTGTCAGTTATATGTCCAAGTCATCTCTGTCAGCTATATATCCAAGTCATCACTGTCAGTTATATATCCAAGTCATCACTTTCAGTTATATGTCCGAGTCATCACTGTCAGTTATATGTCCAAGTCATCACTGTCAGTTATATGTCCAAGTCATCACTGTCAGTTAAATGTTCAAGTCATCACTGACGGTTATATGTCCAAGTCATCTCTGTCAGTTATATGTCCAAGACATCACTGTCAGTTATATTTTCAAGACATCACTGTTCATTGTCAGCTACATGTCTGGTAGATAACTCACCCCACTACTGGAGATGTGTCTACACTCTGGTAGATAACTCACCCCACTACTGGAGATGTGTCTACAGTCTGGTAGATAACTCACCCCACTACTGGAGATGTGTCTACAGTCTGGTAGATAACTCACCCCACTACTGGAGATGTGTCTACAGTCTGGTAGATAACTCACCCCACTACTGGAGATGTGTCTACAGTCTGGTAGATAACTCACCCCACTACTGGAAATGTGTCTACAGTCTGGTAGATAACTCACCCCACTACTGGAGATGTGTCTAAAGTCTGGTAGATAACTCACCCCACAACTGGAGATGTGTCTACAGTCTGGTAGATAACTCACCCCACTATTGAAGATTGTCTACAGTCTGGTAGATAACTCACCCCACTACTGGAGATGTGTCTACAGTCTGGTAGATAACTCACCCCACTACTGGAGATGTGTCTACAGTCTGGTAGATAACTCACCCCACTACTGGAGATGTGTCTACAGTCTGGAAGGTCGCCCTCAAAGCGCGAATCGTCGACCAGCTGCAAACTACCGCCGCAGCCGGGGTTTCCATGGAGCTGGTCTCTGGTCAAGTTCCTGAAGTCGTTGATTTCGATCTCGCCTAGCCTGCATTAAATATCTGACAGTCAGGTGTGACAGTCATTGTGACAGTCAGGTGTGACAGTCAGGTGTGACAGTCAGGTGTGACACTCAAGTGTGACAGTCATGTGTGACAGTCAGGTGTGACAGTCAGGTGTGGCACTCAAGTGTGACAGTCAGGTGTGACAGTCAGGTGTGACAGTCAGGTGTGACAGTCAAGTGTGACAGTCAGGTGTGACACTCAAGTGTGACAGATATGTGTGACAGATATGTGTGACAGTCATGTGTGACAGTTATGTGTGACAGTCAGGCGTGAGAGTTATGTGTGACAGTCAGGTGTGACAGTTATGTGTGACAGTTATGTGTGACAGTCATGTGTGACAGTTATGTGTGACAGTCATGTGTGACAGTTTTGTGTGACAGTCATGTGTGACAGTTATGTGTGACAGTCAGGTGTGACAGTTATGTGTGACAGTCAGCTGTGCAAGTTATGTGTGACAGTCACGTGTGACAGTTATGTGTGACACGCAAAAGTGACAGTCAAGTGTGACAGTCATTGTGACAGTTATGTGTGACAGTCAGGTGTGACAGTTATGTGTGGCAGTTATGTGTGACAGTCATGTGTGACAGTCATGTGTGACAGTCATGTGTGACAGTCATATGTGACACTCATGTGTGACAGTCAGGTGTGACAGTCAGGTGTGACAGTCATGTGTGGCACTCATGTGTGACAGTCATGTGTGACAGTCATTGTGACAGTCATGTGTGACAGTCAGGTGTGACAGTCATGTGTGAATGTCAGGTTTGACAGTCAGGTGTGACTGTCATGTGTGACAGTCAGGTGTGGCAGTCAGGTGTGACAGTTAGGTGTGACAGTCAGGTGTGACACTCAAGTGTAATAGTCATGTGTGAGAGTCAGGTGTGACACTTAAGTGTGACAGTCATGTGTGACAGTCGTTGTGACAGTCATGTGTGACAGTAATGTGTGACAGTCAGGTTTGACAGTCAGGTGTGACTGTCATGTGTGACAGTCAGTGTGGCAGTCAGGTGTGACAGTTAGGTGTGACAGTCAGGTGTGACAGTCATGTGTGACAGTCAGGAGTGACAGTCAGGTGTGTGACAGTCAGGTGTTACAGTCAGGTGTAACATTCATTTGTGACAGTTATGTATGACAGTCATTTGTGACAGTTATGTGTGACAGATATGTGTGACAGTCATGTGTGACCGTTATGTGTGACAGTCAGGCGTGAGAGTTATGTGGGACAGTCAGGTGTGACAGGTATGTGTGACAGTCATGTGTGACAGTTATGAGTGACAGTCATGTGAGACAGTTATGTGTGACAGTCAGTTGTGACAGTTATGTGTGACAGTCAGGTGTGACAGTTATGTGTGACAGTTATGTGTGATAGTCAGGTGTGACATTTATGTGTGACAGTCATATGCGACAGTTATGCGTGACAGTCAGGTGTGACAGTTATGTGTGACAGTCATGTGTGACAGTTATGTGTGATACGCAAGTGTGACAGTCAGGTGTGGCAGTCATTGGGAAAGTTATGTGTGACAGTCAGGTGTGACAGTTATGTGTGACTGTCAGGTGTGACAGTTATGTGTGACAGTCATGTGTGACAGTTATGTGTGACAGTCATGTGTGACAGTTATGTGTGACAGTCAGGTGTAACAGTTATGTGTGACAGTCATATGCGACAGTTATGCGTGACAGTCAGGAGTGACAGTTATGTGTGACAGTCATGTGTGACAGTTATTTGTGAAACGCAAGTGTGACAGTCAGGTGTAACAGTCATATGTGTTACTCATGTGTGACAATCAGGTGTGACAGTCAGGTGTGACAGTCATGTGTAACACTCATATGTGACAGTCAGGTGTGACAGTCAAGTGTTACACTCAAGTGTGACAGTCATGTGTGGCAGTCATGTGTGACAGTTAAGTGTGACAGTCATGTGTGACAGTCATGTGTGACACTCAAGTGTGAAATTGATGTGTGACAGTCAAGTGTGACAGTCATGTGTGACAGTTATGTGTGACAGTCATTTGTGACAGTTATGTGTGACAGTCACGTGTGACAATTATGTGTGACAGTTATGTGCGACATGCAAGTGTGACAGTCATGTGTGACAGTTATGTCTGACAGTTAAGTGTGACTGTTAAGTGTGACATGTGTGACAGTCATGTGTGACAGTTATGTGTGACAGTCATGTGTGACAGTTATGTTAGACAGTTATGTGTGACACGAAAATGTGACAGTCATGTGTGACAGTTATGTGTGACAGTCATTTGTGACACTCAAGTGTGACAGTCAGATGTGACAGTTATTTGTGACACGCTAGTGTGACAGTCATGTGAGACAGTCATGTGAGACATTCAAGTGTGACAGTTATGTGTGACAGTCATGTGTGACACGCAAGTGTGACAGCCAGGTGTGACACTCAATTGTGACAATCAGGTGTGACAGTCAGGTGTGACAGTCAGGTATGACAGTCAGGCTGCAGTGGATTCCAGGTCACTGTGGCTTGGAAGGCAATGAAATAGCGGACAGATTGGCCAGAAGCGGCAGTGACATGGTACAACCAAATAGCGACTTAACCCACCAAGAGATGAAAACACTAATACAATCTAGTATCCAAGAAAGGTGGCTGGATACCCACACCAGATTTTCTCCCCAAGACTCACTTCATCGCCTCTCTAGAGAGGGACAGTCTATTATATTCAGACTAAGGACAGGGCACAACAGATTTCGTCAACATATGTTCAAATTTTTCGGTGTAGGAAATACGGAGACGTGTCCCTGCAGCGTGGCACCCGAAAATTCTAAGCATGTGCTCCAACACTGTCAACTGTATGCTGACAACAGAGACGCAATCTGGCCTGTTCCAACCACAATGAAGACAAAACTGTATGGCACACAAGAGGATATGGATTGCACGATGGCTTTCATAAAGGCTACCGGCCTCCTGATATAAGTTTTCTGACAGAAGGATCGAAGAAGAAGAAGAAGAAGAAGACAGTCAGGTGTGACAGTCAGGTGTGACAGTCAGGTGTGACAGTCAGGTGTGACAGTCATGTGTGACAGTCATGTGTGACAGTTATGTGTAACAGTCATGTGTGACACTCAAGTGTGACAGTTATGTGTGACAGTCATGTGTGACAGTTATGTGTGACAGTCACGTGTGACAGTTATGTGTGACATGCAAGTGTGACAGTCATGTGTGACAGTTATGTGTAACAGTTAAGTGTGACTGTTAAGTGTGACAGTCAAGTGTGACTGTTAAGTGTGACAGTCAAGTGTGACAGTCATGTGTGACAGTTATGTGTGACAGTTATGTTTGACAGTTATGTGTGACACGCAAATGTGACAGTCATGTGTGGCAGTATGTGTGACAGTCATGTGTGACACTCAAGTGTGACAGTCAGATGTGACACTTATTTGTGACACGCTAGTGTGACAGTCAGGTGTGACACGCAAGTGTGACAGTTATGTGTGACAGACATGTGTGACACTCAAGTGTGACAGTTATGTGTGACAGTCATGTGTGACACGCAAGTGTGACAGTCAGGTGTGACACGCAAGTGTGACAGTTATGTGTGACAGACATGTGTGACAGTCATGTGTGACAGTCAGGTGTGATAGTCAGGCGTGGCACTCAAGTGTGACAATCAGGCTTGACAGTCATGTGTGACAGTTAGGTGTGACAGTCAAGTGTGACAGTCACATGTGACAGTCATGTTTGACACTCAAGAATGACAGTCAGGTGTGACACCCAAGTGTGACAGTCAGGTGTGACAGTCAGGTGTGTCAGTCAGGTGTGACAGTTAGGTATGACATTCAGATGTGACAGTCATGTGTGACAGTCATGTGTGACAGTCATGTGTGACAGTCAGGTGTGACAGTCAGGTGTGACACTCACGTGTGATAGTCAGGTGTGACAGTCAGGTGTGTCACTCAAGTGTGACAGTCAGGTGTGATAGTCAGGTGTGACAGTCCTGTGTCATACTTAAGTGTGATAGTCAGGTGTAACAGTCATGTGTCACACTTAAGTGTGATAGTCAGATGTGTTACTCAAGTGTGATAGTCAGGTGTGATAGTCAGGTATGACAGTCAGGTGTGACAGTCAGGTGTGATAGTCAGGTATGATAGTCAGGTGTGATAGTCAGATGTGACACTTAGGTGTCATGGTCAAGCGTGACATATATGTGTGACAGGTATGATTGTCAGGTGTGACGATTGAAACAGTCAGGTGTGACAGTCAGATGAGACATTCAGGTGTGACAGTCAAGTGTCACGGTCAGTGTGACAGCGATGTGTGACAGTGATGTGTGACGGCCAGGTGGGGCAATCACGTGTAGTAGTGAGGTATGAATACATCATCAGACTGGTGTGTTGTTTAATTATCATAATTAAATTACTCCGTTAATATGGCACTTGCGGTCAGAGGTCAAGTGTTCGATTCCTGTATATCTTATGGAACGCTTGAAATATTATTGAAGGCAATCGGCACAAGATGGGTGATGTGGTCAGATTCACGCCGGCCGCTTTTACTTCCTGGGGCTGCACCCGGTACCCACTCAAGGCTGGGTCCACCTGGGAGTTAAGGTCCTGTTTTATACAGATTAGGAATTGAATTGGCTGAAGAATAAAACACACAGTTATTTTTATATAGACCTGATTAGATTTTATAATTTTAGATACTTTTAACGCTTGTAAGCTGTTGATTGGTATTTTCATGGAAGTATGTTTAAAAAAAAATAATTATACAATCTTTAGATGTGTTGTTCCGATAAATGGACGTGTAAAGTGGTATATGGTACATAGAGTGCATGTATGAAGGTACCGAGTGAAAGTCGCTCTGCGGAAGTCAGTGGCCAAACATGAGCACTATCTGAAACAATAATCACTATGATAGTTTTTGGAATAGTAGGACTATGGCACAGGCAACACACTGATTCATCTAGGTGGCTGATAAAATAGTCGTTAGTGGGCTTTGCCTGATATCCCGGGGAAGAGAAGATGGGAAACTCATCTATCTATCTATCTATCTATCTATCTATCTATCTATCTATCTATCTATCTATCTATCTATCTATCTATCTATCTATCTATCTATCTATCTATCTATCTATCTATCTATCTAATCTATCTATCTATCTATCTATCTATCTATCTATCTATCTATCTATCTATCTATCTATCTATCTATCTATCTATCTATCTATCTATCTATCTATCTATCTATCTATCTATCTATCTATCTATCTATCTATCTATCTATCTATCTATCTATCTATCTATCTATCTATCTATCTATCTATCTATCTATCTATCTATCTATCTATCTATCTATCTATCTATCTATCTATCTATCTATCTATCTATCTATCTATCTATCTATCTATCTATCTATCTATCTATCTATCTATCTATCTATCTATCTATCTATCTATCTATCTATCTATCTATCTATCTATCTATCTATCTATCTATCGATCTATCTATCGACCTATCTATCGATCTATCTATCGACCTATCTATCGATCTATCTATCGATCTATCTATCGATCTATCTATCGATCTATCTATCGATCTATCTATCTATCTATCGATCTATCTATCGATCTATCTATCGATCTATCTATCGATCTATCGATCTATCTATCGATCTATCTATCGATCTATCTATCGATCTATCTATCGATCTATCTATCGATCTATCTATCGATCTATCTATCGATCTATCTATCTATCTATCTATCTATCTATCTATCTATCTATCTATCTATCTATCTATCTATCTATCTATCTATCTATCTATCTATCTATCTATCTATCTATCTATCTATCTATCTATCTATCTATCTATCTATCTATCTATCTATCTATCTATCTATCTATCTATCTATCTATCTATCTATCTATCTATCTATCTATCTATCTATCTATCTATCTATCTATCTATCTATCTATCTATCTATCTATCTATCTATCTATCTATCTATCTATCTATCTATCTATCTATCTATCTATCTATCTATCTATCTATCTATCTATCTATCTATCTATCTATCTATCTATCTATCTATCTATCTATCAGCATGCCTGTCTGCCGGCCTGCCTGCCTGTCTGTTCGTATTTGTTCGTTAGCACAGGCACCACTTTTATTCCATGAGATGGACCAATGTCATCCGCACGATGACCAACCCCTCCCTCCCTCTTTAGACACTCAACGTACGCTGTTTGTGGGCGTCTACTTCGTCCATTTCCTATTTTTAGAGAACCCGATTTTTGCTCTGCGTCCATGAGTTGGTGATTAAAACGCCAATACCTGTCCTTGACATCCTTTTGAGGGAAGTTTTTCGCCAGGAACACAGATGAGTATCATTTATTGTGTACATTAGTCCCATGTAGTCACTTCATAGTTAGAGCATATTTGTGTATGTGCACTGTATTGTTCTTTATGTGCTGATGAAGGCTAATCATTTCTTACCAACTTTTTTCTTCCCTATAATTTTCTACTCCTTTTTGAAAACGAAAGGAGTGGGCATTATGAACGACACCCATAGTTTCGAAATGTCTGCTGGCAAGGGCGGGGCGTATAAACAAATCGGGGGAGAGCGGGGCGTATAAACAAATCGGGGGAGAGCGGGGCGTATAAACAAATCGGGGGAGAGCGGGGCGTATAAACAAATCGGGGGAGAGCGGGGCGTATAAAAAAATCGGGGGAGAGCGGGGCGTATAAAAAATCGGGGGAGAGCGAGGCGTATAAAAAAGGGGGGGGGGGGGCGGCGGGGAGCGGTGGAAGGAGCATGCATGTGAGAAACTTATAAAATAATTGTGAATTATGGACAATTGTACAAAGATGATAATGGGGACTTTATGTATTTACACAATGTTCCAGAAAGTTTATGAGTATAAAAACAAAAACAAAATGCATTGTTAATGAAATTATGTTGGAGGATAAGCAAGTGTATGTTGAGTTTGCTAAAAAGCACTGACGATGTGGGGTGATTAAAAACAACAGCAACATACAGGTGGATAAACAGGTACACACCAACTAGGAGCTACTCACTTCTTGCCGATGTAGTTTGTGAGGTTGTAGGTAGTCACCTCGATCCGCTCATTGGGTCCTTCAGTGACCTCTCCAAGCTCCGCCAACACTAGCTCCCCATTGTCCGACTGCTCCACGTACGTGAAGGGGTTCTAAAATGTACACAGACCATTTGCGCTGGTCATCTCGTCCAAACATCTTAAACTTACGTCCGCGGGCGTTCTCCGTGTTTTATATGTATATCTCTCCCCCCCCCCCCCAATAGATATATTATCAATATTGTCTCCGTTTCTATTCGTCATTTCTGTGTTGGCTGTTTTGTCCAATCACAAATCACCCATACCTATATCTGCATATATCGGTCAGTGTTTGTCCAGTCCCAAGTTCCACACACCTATACCTCCACTTATCAGTCGCTGTCTTGTCCAATCACAAACTACCCACATCTATACCTCCACTTATCGGTCGCTGTCTTGTCCAATCACAAACTACCCACATCTATACCTCCATTTATCGGTCGCTGTCTTGTCCAATCACAAACTACTTACTTACTTAGTCGCTCCTCTTCTACATTGGTGTGTAGAGGTTTGCCCGAAAAATCGCCAGACGTCTCTATCAGCAGTTTTCTTTCTGGCTTTGTTCCATTCCAGTCCTCTGTCAGTTAGGGACTGTCCGATGTTGTCTTCCCAGTGTACCCTGGGTTATCCTGGAGGTCTGGTTTCCTGGTGCTTAGCCTGCCATGGTGGCCGATTTTCTCCTATTCTGCATACATGTCCAAACCATCGTAACTTGACTGGCCCCCTCGGGTTTGTAAGGACTGGGTATCAAGATCTTGACGTATTGTCTGGTTGCGAACTGTCCCTTCTTGTCACTTGGACCACCTTTCTCAAATGTCATTTCCGAGGCCTGCAGCTGGTTTCTGTGAGCTGTTGTCATTGCCCATAACTCACACTCATAGGTCAGGACTGGTACATAGGTAGAGCGGTAAACAGCCATTTTTCGTCCTCTTGCCAATTTCTCTTTTGCTAAGAAACCCTCAGTTTATGGCCTGGAAGAGTCTCCCAGCAGCTGCTTTTCGTTTAGCCAGCTCAGTCTTAATGCCTCCATTTCGGTCTAATACAACTCCAAGGTATTTGAACTGGTTAAGCTGCTCCAATGCATACTGTCCCATCACGATCTGGCCAATCACAAACTACCCACATCTGTACCTTCACTTTTCGGTCGCTGTCTTGTCCAATCACAAACTACCCACATCTATACCTTCACTTATCGGTCGCTGTCTTGTCCAATCACAAACTACCCACATCTATACCTTCACTTATCGGTCGCTGTCTTGTCCAATCACAAACTACCCACATCTATACCTTCACTTATCGGTCGCTGTCTTGTCCAATCACAAACTACCCACATCTATACCTTCACTTATCGGTCGCTGTCTTGCCCAATCACAAACTACCCACACCTATACCTTCACTTATCAGTCATAATATTGTGTTGAAATCCGCAAATAGTTTTTTTTTTTCTAAAACTGATACTGTCTGTCAGGTCGACCCAGCCTGACATGATTGTGGGAAGTAAATGCCGATGTTGACAACAACACCGACAAAATGCTGACAGGTAAATGGAAACTTAAATGCAGCGCCCAAGATCCATCATGTGACTCGCGTGACAAGCTCCTATAACTTTCTTTTTTGTACATCTGCATGTAGCAATTAAACTAACTGTTGCTTTCTCTCACCACTCTTAGCTACTATACACAAAGTGTCATTACTTCTCACTCTCATTCTACCTTCACTCCACAAACAGTGTCATTACTTCTCTCTCTCCTTCTACCTCCACCCCACAAACAGTGTCATTACTTCTCTCTCTCTTTCTACCTTCACTCCATACACAGTGTCGTTACTTCTCTCTCTCTTTCTACCTCCACTCCACACACAGTGTCATTACTTCTCTCTCTTTCTACCTCCACTCCACACACAGTGTCATTACTTCTCTCTCCTTCTACCTCCACTCCACACACAGTGTCATTACTTCTCTCTCTTTCTACCTCCACTCACACACAGTGTCATTACTTCTCTCTCCTTCTACCTCCACTCCACACAATGTCATTACTTCTCTATCTCCTTCTACCTCCACTTCACACACAGTGTCATTACTTCTCTCTCTCTTTCTACCCCCACTCCACACACAGTGTCATTACTTTTCTCTCTCCTTCTACCTCCACTCCACACACAGTGTCATTACTTCTATCTCTACTTCTACCTCCACTTCACACAGTTTCATTACTTCTCTCTCTACTTCTACCTCCACTACATACACATTGTCATTACTTCTCCCTCTCCTTCTACCTCCACTCCACACACAGTGTCATTACTTCTCTCTCTGCTTCTACCTCCACTCCACACACAGTGTCATTACTTCTCTCTCTGCTTCTACCTCCACTCCACACACAGCGTCATCACTTCTCTCTCTCCTTCTACCTCCACTCCACACACAGCGTCATCACTTCTATCTCTCCTTCTACCTCCACTCCACACACAGTGTCATTACTTCTCTTTCTCTCTTTCTACCTATATATATATATATATATATATATATATATATATATATATATATATATATATATATATATATATATATATATATGGTGTCATTACTTCTCTCTCGAAAAAAACAACTTTATTTGTACAAGGTTGAAAGCTGTGTAGGTAGGCCCGTGTCACATTCTGCTTCTCTGCATAAATATGTTTAACACAAGAAAAGATTCAAGTAGACTATTTAAATGTATAAGGAATATCGATATTTTTTATTTGTTGTGAAAGTTGGTTTCCCACACGAGATGTGGAAGTTGGTTGCCTACACGAACTGTAGAAGTTGGTTGCCCACATGAGCTGTAAAAGTTGGTTGCCCACATAAGCTGTTAAAGTTGGTTGCCTAGGTGAGCTGTGGAAGTTTGTTGCCTACGTGAGCTGTGGAAGTTGGTTGCCTACATGAGCTGTGAAAGTTGGTTTTCCACACGAGCTGTGGAAGTTGGTTGCCCACATGAGCTGTGAAAGTTGGTTCCCACATGAGCTGTGATAGTACGTAAGCTTGTTTTGCAAAAGTTTATTCTCGGTTTTGAAATATATAGTATGTTGAGGGTTACTACATCTTCGAGCATATGATTACCAAAGGTCATCAGGAGCATTTTTAGATGCAATTTTATGAATAAATTTTGTCTTTTTGAAAAGTTGGCGTTTGTGTAGTTGAGTAGCAAACGAATCTTATATAGGTTGGAACTGTCCCTTTAATAATCGTTGCTTATAAAACGTACAGCTCATCTTTGAAGTGCTTTAAGTCGTTTGATGACTGAAATGGAACGTCTGTCTCATATGGTGAGGAAATAGTCTAGATATTTCTATTAGTAATCAGGCCTAGTGCTTTATGGTCGGTTACACTTTCCACTAGGGTACTGCCAGTGTAGAGCTGAAGGGCCCATGTTAATTTAAAAAAAAAAAAGAAGATATAGTAAGATGAACAGCTAAAAATACAGACAAAACAAACGAACGAACAAATTTTTTTAAAAAGGTAGTAAATTTCCAGATGTTTGAGTATGGCTGCGAATAAAACCAGAAGAGATCGAGTGAGAAACGATGTGATTACAAGAACTATTGGAACCATACCCATCGTTAAATTTATTGAGAAGCAAAGAATGAAATGGTTTGGTCACCTAATGAGAATGGAACCAACGATGCCAGCATCAAGAGCATACAACATGAAAATCGAAACACCAAGAGGCAGGGGAAGACCAAGAAGAAGATGGATTGAAGGAGTCACGGACAACTTGAGACTTCATAACATTACGGCATATGAAGCGACTGAGCGCGCCCTGGCTCGGTTGCCAATCATCTGATAGACTGCGACGCTTAGCGGCACAAGCAGATTTTGACAAAAGAAGAAAGAAGTAAATTTCCAAATATGCATGAATGATGGATGGATAGATAGATAGATAGATAGATAGATAGATAGATAGATAGATAGATAGATAGATAGATAGATAGATAGATAGATAGATAGATAGATAGATAGATAGATAGATAGATAGATAGATAGATAGATAGATAGATAGATAGAAAGATAGATAGATAGATAGATAGATAGATAGATAGATAGATAGATAGATAGATAGATAGATAGATAGATAGATAGATAGATAGATAGATAGATAGATAGATAGATAGATAGATAGATAGATAGATAGATAGATAGATAGATAGATAGATAGATTGATAGATAGATAGATACACTCACCTGAGATATGTTGTTTAGGTAGACACTAGTGACTCGAGTTTCGACTTTGGTGGCTCCGCTGTCCGGGTTCTGCTCCAGGAATTGCTTGTTGGTGAACTTCCCGTTGTAGAAACATAAATATTTCTGTAGAGTTGAAGACAGCGCTGCACGAAAGCAAATGGCATTTGATTATTTATTTATCACTGGTTGCCAGAGTCTAGTGTGTGCAGTTATGGGACGGTGTAGAAAGGAGACAGTCCATTGTTTGTACGTGCATGACAGATAGGTGGTGGATCCTGACGGTCCGTGTTTGTACTCGGATGTCCGATAGGTGGTGGATCCTGATGGTCCGTGTTTGAACTCGGATGCCCGATAGGTGATGGATCCTGACGGTCCGTGTTTGAACTCGGATGTCCGATGGGTGATGGATCCTGATGGTCCGTGTTTGTACTCGGATGTCTGATAGGTGATGGATCCTGACGGTCCGTGTTTAAACTCGGATGTCCGATGGGTGATGGATCCTGATGGTCCGTGTTTGTACTCGGATGTCTGATAGGTGATGGATCCTGTCGGTCCGTGTTTGTACTCGGATGTCTGATAGGTGTTGGATCCTGACGGTCCGTGTTTGTACTCGGATGTCCGATAGGTGATGGATCCTGATGGTCCGTGTTTGTACTCGGATGTCCGATGGGGAATGGATCCTGATGGTCCGTGTTTGTACTCGGATGTCTGATAGGTGGTGGATCCTGATTGTCCGTGTTTGTACTCGGATGTCCGATGGGGAATGGATCCTGATGGTCCGTGTTTGTACTCGGATGTCTGATAGGTGATGGATCCTGATGGTCCGTGTTTGTACTCGGATGTCCGATGGGGAATGGATCCTGATGGTCCGTGTTTGTACTCGGATGTCTGATAGGTGTTGGATCCTGACGGTCCGTGTTTGTACTCGGATGTCCGATAGGTGATGGATCCTGATGGTCCGTGTTTGTACTCAGATGTCCGATAAGTGGTGGATCCTGACGGTCCGTGTGTGTACTCGGATGTCCGATAGGTGATGGATCCTGATGGTCCGTGTTTGTACTCGGATGTCCGATAGGTTGTGGATCCTGACGGTCCGTGTTTGTACTCGGATGTCCGATAGGTGATGGATCCTGACGGTCCGTGTTTGTACTCGGATGTCCGATAGGTGAGCCACAGTAACGACTGCGATAAAGCGTGACTGACTTCGCTTACTTGGGCTAAGCTGTCGGCCTGTGACAAAAGCCATGGGGAGATTGGACAGAGCAGAGTCGGGTATTGGACGTTAAACAGGAGACATCTAATGAAGCGACGGTTTATAGTCTTAGCTTGTAGTAGTGACCGATAACTTGTGAAAATGTGTTTCGTTAGGGTATCGTAGTTCCTCTGTGTTTTGCAGCGTCTGACGGCGACAAGATTTTGTATAATGTGTCACGTAAGTAATGTTGAGGTATTCTGATAGTCAGGACTGGCTCACGTGATAATGTGTTTCCCTGCGCTCTGTCCCTATACTTTGCAGTCACTGCGCGATCCTGGTGGAGTCCAGCGGCATAGGAAAAGAGCTTATCGGGAGCAATGTGGGTTTGGACCTGAGTAATATCCATGGCGATATGAAGTCTTCCATGCTGGTTTGTAAAGCCATCGAGGCCTGCGTTTCTGGTAAGGGTACCAACTAGGGCTGTACCGAATAGTGATTTTAACTTACGACAGACTTAGGCAACAGCAACTATTGTTTTATTGAGAGAGCTATTTCAATCCATCGCTGTATATGCTGAAACGGGTGTAAGTTAACAACTATTCGTATTCGGCCAGACCGCAAGTATTCGGCCAGACCGCAAGTATTCGGCCGAAAATGCTTTTGCCATCCTCACTGTCAGCCATACTCAGATTGAAAGACTTGAGAACGTGCAAAATGAAGCAATGCGCATTATTCTGTGGTGCACTTGAGACACCTCTTGTGTAGCAATGAGGTACCTTCTTGACTTCCCTACTGTGAACTACATTATCAAGATCTGGAGGACTCGTGGATACCTCAAGATAAGCTCAGATCTGAAGCACGATTTGCACCACATGCTCTTCAGGAAAAAGGCAACAGGCTTAAAAGGAGAAAGTCATGGCTCGGAAGGGCAGAGGATGATATCATGCAGGTTTGTCAATCTATGGTCTGTCTGCCTATTTGTCTGTGTGTGTGTCTATTGATCTGTCTGTCTATATGTCTATCTGCCTGTGTGTCTGTACACACGTAAGCCTGTGTATCTATATGTCTATCTGCCTTTCTATGTGTCTGTCTATCGATATGTCTGTCTATATGTCTATCTGCCTGTGTGTCTGTCCATACGTAAGCCTGTGTATATATATATATATATGTCTATCTGCCTGTGTGTCTGTGTGTCTGTGTATCGATACGTCTGTCTATATGTCTATCTGCCTGTGTGTCCGTCCACGTGTATGCCTGTCTGTCTACTTACCAGAAGAAGGGACTGCTACAGCCACAGCCAGACAAGCCAGAAACAGCGAGGACCTCATGTTTGCTGTGATGAGCTGCAGAACCGTTTGCCCAGATACAGGCTTGCAGGGAGCTTTTTATCATCACAGAAACCATCATCTCCTCAGTGCATAATGAATGCAAGGATATGCTAATAAAAACATAGCTCATCTTTGAGAAAGTAACGATGTCTGCTAAGTGGTGATACTTTCATCAACAGGTGCTACCATCTAGACACACCTCACTTAACTTGTAATCCCTTCATGTTGCCAACTGGCAAGGGCGCGGTGATCCATACCAAGTTTCTTATCAGTTCTCCAGGTAAAGAAAACTAGCTCTGTATGGTAATACCCACCCATAGATTACTTCTCTGTAGTCTGTGTATATTGAGCACCCACAAGCCCGTGATGCTTGACCTGTGTTTCTGATGGAAAGAGAAGTAATTAAAAACAACGTATGTAGATCAGCTGTTTATATGCACATGTAAAACATCAAGTAGGAAACTCATGTTGTGGGCGTGTAGTGTGAACAGTGCGATCTTCCATGGCCCCGGGTTTAGCAGGTGGGTTTAACTCCGGGGTGGTCTGTGACTGAATCCTCCACTAGGATTGGCATTCAAGAACATAATTATAATTTGTAATTTCAGGACTGTAGGTGGGACAACTTGTGTGAACTGTAGGTGGGACAACTTGTGTGAACTGTAGGTGGGACAACTTGTGTGAACTGTAGGTGGGACAAATTGTGTGAACTGTAGGTGGGACAACTTGTGTGAACTGTAGGTGGGACAACTTGTGTGAACTGTAGGTGGGACAACTTGTGTGAACTGTAGGTGAGGCAACTTGTGAGGACTGGACGTGTGACAATTTGTGAGGCCTGGACGTGTGACAACTTGTGTGGACTCAGTACATGACAACTTGTGTGAACTAGAGAAGGGACAACTAGTGTGAACTGGGGATATAACTTCTGCGGTCTGGAGCAGGGGCAGCTTGTGTGAACTGGGGATATAACTTGTGTAGGCTGGAGCTGGGACAGCTTGTGTAAACTGGGGATATAATTTGTGTGTGCTGGAGCTGGGACAGCTTGTGTGAATTGGGGATATAGCTTGTGCGGTTTGGAGCTGGGACAGCTTGTGTGAACTGGGGATATAATAACTTATGTTGGCTGGAGCTGGGACAGCTTGTGTGAACTGAGAATATAACTTGTGCGGTCTGGAGCTGGGATAGCTTGTGTGAACTGGGGATATAACTTGTGTTGGCTGGAGCTGGGACAGCTTGTGTGAACTGGGGATATAATAACTTGTATTGGCTGGAGCTGGGACATCTTTTGTGACCTGGGGATATAACTTGTGTTGGCTGGAGCTGGGACAGCTTGTGTGAACCGGGAATATAATAACTTGTGTTGGCTGGAGCTGGAACAGCTTGTGTGAACTGGGGATATAACTTGTGTTGGCTGGAGCTGGGACAGCTTGTGTGAACCGGGGATATAACTTGTGCGGTCTGGAGCTGGGAAAGCTTGTGTGAACTGGGGATCTAACTTGTGTGGGCTGGAGCTGGGACAGCTTGTGTGAACTGGGGATATAACTTGTGTGGTCTGGAGCTGGGACAGCTTGTGTGTTCTGGGGATATAATAACTTGGGTTGGCTGGAGCTTGAACAGCTTGTGTGAACTGGGGATATAACTTGTGTTGGCTAGAGATGGGACAGCTTGTGTGAACTGGGGATATAACTTGTGCGGTCTGGAGCTGGGACAGCTTGTGTGAACTGGGGATATAACTTGTGCGGTCTGGAGCTGGGACAGCCTGTTTGAACTGGGAATTTAACTTGTGTGGGCTGGAGCGGGGACAGCTTGTGTGAACTGGGAATATAACTAGTGTGTGCTGGAGCGGGGACAGCTAGTGTTAACTTGATATACAACTTGTACGGTCTAGAGCTGGGACACATGTTTGGACTTGTATGGACTGGAAGTGGGACAACTTGTGTGCACTGGAGTTAGGACTTGTGTGGAATAAATATAAGACAACTTGTGTAGACTGCAAATGAGACAACATGTGTAGACTGGAGCTGGAACAACTTGTGTGGGCATGGAAGTGGGACAGCTTGTGTGGACTGGAAGTGGGACAACTTGTGTGGACTGGAAGTGGAACAACTTGTGTAGACTGAATGTGGGACACCTTGTGTGGACTGAATGTGGGACAGCTTGTGTACGCATGGAAGTGGAACATCTTGTGTAGACTGTATGTGGGACACATTGTGTAGACTAAATGTGGGGCAACTTGTGTGGACTAAATCTGGGACAGCTTGTGTGGACTGAAAGTAGGACAACTTGTGTTTCTGTATGTGGGACACCTTGTGTTGACTGAAGGAGAAACAATTTGTGTGGGCATGAAAGTGGGACATCTTGTGTATACTAGAAGGTGAGACAAGTTGTGTGGGCAGGGAAGTGGGACACCTTGTGTGGACTGGAGGTGAGACAACTTGTGTGGGCGTGGAAATGGGACACCTTGTGTGGACTGGAAGTGGGACAGCCTATGTGGTCTGGAGGTTAGACAACTTGTGTGGGAATGGAAGTGGGACAGCATATGTGGTCTGGAGGTTAGACAACTTGTGTGGGCGTGAAAATGGGACACCACGTGTGGACTGGAAGTGGGACAAATTGTGTGGACTGAAGGTGGGACAACATGTGTGGGCATGGAAGTAGGACACTTTGTGTGAACTGGAAGTGGGACAACTTGTGTGGACTGGAGGTGGGACAACTTGTGTGGACTGGAGGTGGGACAACTTGTGTGGACTTGAGGGGGTGATGTAATAAAAAGCAGACTAAGCGACACCTGTGGCCACTGACATATGTTGTGTGAGTTTGGTAGTTTGCTGTGAAAACTATCAGAGTAGAGAAATACCACAAATGGTCTCCTTGATACAATAGGATCGAAAATACACACACAGAGCAAGATAGAGAGAGAGAGAGAGAGACAGAGAGACAGAGAGAAAGAGAGAGAGAGAAACAGAGAGAAAGAGAGAGACAGAGAGAAAGAGAGAGAGACAGAGAGAAAGAGAGAGACAGAGAGAAAAAGAGAGACAGGGAGAGAGAGACAGAGAGAAAGAGAGAGACAGAGAGAGAGAGAAAGAGAGAGACAGAGAGAAAGAGAGAGACAGAGAGAGACAGAGAGAAAGAGAGAGAGAGAGATAGAGAGAGAGAGAGAAGACGCGTAACGTAGGATATGTGGGGAGGGGTTCATTGAGGGGTAGCAAGTTCACATGCCAGACTTTCAGATGACATCTTTCATTCTCATTATGTGCCGAATTGTCTTCTCTTACACAGATGTGTGTATTTTTCACCCCCCTTTACCACCACTGTCCTACTTCCCTGAACTACAGGATCAAGATCTGGAAGGCTCGTGCATACCTCAAGATGAGCTTGCAACATGCTCTTCAGGAAAAAAGGCAACAAACTTAAGAGGTGCAAACCATGGCAGCGTAGGGCAGAAGATGACATCATGCAGGTCTGCAGCCTTATAAAGATCCATCCAGGCGAGGAATGGAAACCAGGGTCTAAAGCGCACAATCTCACAATCTCCTGTGTCGTGACGGTTGTTCGAGGTTGTCGGGAGCAGAATCCCACTGCTGTCAATGCCGAGGTATGCGCGCTTATCAGTGACAAGTCAGATGAGACGGATGTGGTGATCGGGTCCGTAATAGGAGGACATAAGAGTGCATGGGCATTTACAGCTCGCTCTTCAGGCAGAACAGTTCAAGAATTCAGCGGTGCCTTCTCCATGACTACCAGCAGCATGACGATGGAGGTGATGGCGGTGACACAGGCTTTCATGTGGCTGGGATCACAGGACTACTCTCGCGTGTGTGTGCTGAATGATTCTCTAAGCATGATCTGGCGGGTCGAGGCAGGCTGGTTACACAGACAGTGGTTTGAGTCATTGCAAAACTTTTCTGTGTGTGCTGTTACCTTTATACCAACTACCTTAATGTCCCAGGGCATACAGGCGTTGCTGGTAATGAAAGAGCTGATAGACTGGTATAATTGAAGATGACCGGCCAATGAATCACTTAGATATTATCAATGCCTTCAGAGATGTATGAAGTTCTGAGGATTCTGGAAGCAACGTGTCCACATAATTGCGAAAAAAAAATACGAAAATTGGGAGTAAAGATCGGAACAGCCAAACATGAGAATCACACCGGACGCAAACGAAGTGTTGTCAACCAGCATTGGACTGGCACTATTAACCGCGCGACGGTGATGAATATGTTCAGAGGGAAATCTGACCACCTACGATTGTGTCCGGAGTGCTGTGAAGATAATCCAGCTCATAACTCAATCACTGTCTTGAGTCTTCTCCCTTGCTTCAGTAACGTTGATTAGTGATCTTCAAAACCAGACTTGTCTCAGTCGTCTAGTGACTCAACTTGATGCAGGGGACACTACTGTTGTATCACTACATATGTTTGTTTGTTTTAGTATCCAGAAGCCACGAGTTGTTAACCCTTAGGCTCGGTATTATGGATATCGCAAACTTTCGGCCTTGATTCCATTGTAAATACCGTAAATCTGGGAAAAAATGTGGCTTTCCTGCCTACCCCCGGGATTGAACTCGGACCACAAGGAGTTCGTCACCCGCTCACCGCGCAATCCGGTTTAGCCAACTACGCTAGAAAGCCGGACATCACTGCGTATTAATAGGATATCAACAGCTGCATCTCTTTATTTAGCATAACCTGCCACATGGACTGGTGCTCGGCACAAATATAAACCTATGTTTTCTCCTTGAGGAGTACTACATGGTAACACAGTGGTCAGTGGTCAGTGAAGCAGCCGGCTTGGTCACTCAACCATAAATTGCCCAGATCGTCTCTCTGACACCGTCCAGCAGAGGGGTCAAGTGTATGCCCCGGTAACTTCACCCTATCAAGTGTGTCAGGTGACACAAGATGAGTCTCTATAGTCCAGTCAAAAATTCATAAACAAGGATAGAGTTTATTTATTTGGAAACTAACTGGCATTTTGTAATGACTTTTGGTAAGCCCACT